AATTATACTTTGACTCTGTTTCCTTGATACTCTATTCTTGTCCCATTATAATACTCAACAAATTTTATTGAAATCACTTCATAATTACCTGCCTTTCCTCCTACTGAAAACAGTGTGAGGGTAGGGTTATGTCTGTCTTATTCCCTATCATCCCCAGAACCAATATAATACCTAGCAGAGTAGGTGCTCAAAATTATTTGTTAAATAAAAACTTATAACATAGTAATGTCTAGGGGATAAAAGCACAGGCTCTGGAATCAAATTCAGTGTCATTTTTAATCTCTATAGAGTAGATACAGAAATGGTGCCTGTCTGAGTTATAGTGAGAATTATATGAAGAAATACACATACAGCTGTTGGCACGGTTTATATTCACTATAAAAAAGTTGTTAATATTTCTCCATAGCAATGCATCTAAGCATTTTTTTAATGAAGTTTTTATAAAAGTCAAGTAAAAATAGATTTTTAAAAACACCCATTGTGATTTAGACATGTATGTTTTATCAACACAGCCCGAAGCACCACTGGAGATGCTCTCTTGAAAAATCTCTTTTTTCTCCAATTGACTGGTTGACCATTCTCATCATTAGTGAGTCATTTGATCTTACTCATTTCTGGCTGAATTCATTCATTCAGTTGGTTGTGAAGCAGGAGAATATGAAGGGTTGTAATTCTAGATTCTTCCAGCCTAAAAAGTATGTCAATTGTCTAAAAGAATGACCATGATTTAACGGTTACATAGTCAAGAATTCCTAGAATGAGATTTTTCTTTTTCCACTCTGGGATGACTCCGACCCTGAACAGAGTGTACTTGGGTCACTCTGTAGATGTGGCCATTGCCCAAGTTTATTCCTTGATAGATGACACAGAAATTGAAAGGCTGTAAATGACTGGCCTGTCAGTCCAGGGATGGCATAGTTTTTAACAGAACCTAACCACATGGCTGGTGGGAAATAATAAGAGATAGAATTTATTAAACACCCACCAAGTATGACTTGTTTTATAAATATTTCTAATTCTTACAGAGAACCTATGAAAGCTACTCTATATTTTTCCCATATTACAAGTAAGGAAACTAGGACTCAAATAGATTAAATCGCTTGTTTAAAAGTTCACAAATTTAAAATTGCTGGAATGTACTATCTTCACAATTTTTATGTAGATATGAGACTTCTAAAATATAAAGTTTATTTTAAAAATAAAATTAAAACTTTTTTAAAAATGGAAACCCTTAGAACAAAAAGTTAATTAAAAAAATAGATTTCGAAAACATAGAATCTGGAATAAAAGTCACTGGACCTGATAATAAACCCAGCTCTATCATTGTTTTTTAATTTATTTTTTAAATTAAATTTATTGAGGTAACATTGAATTAATAACATTACATAAATTTCAGGTGTACCATTATATAATATGACATCTATGTGCTCTATTGTGTGCTCATCACCCAAAACCTCGTTTTCCTTTCATCACCATATATTTGAGCCTCTTTATCCTCTTCATCCTCCCACCAGCCCTCTTCCCCTGGCAACCACCATGCTATTGTCTGTGTCTATGAGTTTGTCTTTTGGTTTGTTGCTTTTTGTTCTGTATCCTACACATGAATGAAATCATGTGCTTCTTGTCCTTTTCCATCTGACTTACTTTACTTAGCATAATACTCTCAAGATGCATTCATGTTGTCACAAATGGCAATATTCCATATTTTTTATGGCTGTGTTGTATTCCATTGTATATATGTACCACATTTTCCTTATCCAATTATCCATTGAAGGACACTTAGGTTGTTTCCATGTTTTGGCTATTGTGAATAATCCTGCAATGAACATAGGGATTCATATATCTCTATGAATAAATATTTTCAAATTAATGTTTAGAATAGACTTCTATCCCTCATTTTTTTAGGAGAGCTTCATTATCCATTATCCAACTTTACCTCCATTCTCTCTTTACGTCCATTCCAAGCCAGAAAATATAATTCCAGCAAGTAGGAAATTTTCCATCACTTCAAGAAGAAAATTTGCATTTCTAAGAGTGAGCAACCCAGTGACAACCAGCTCATTGGTTTCTGCCCAGCTCTTTGAGGCTTATTACACTTGTAAGTAGTGAAAGGGAGTTTTCTGGAACCTCTCGAATTACTTTCCTATGTCCTTAACCACTGCATCCCTGTTCAGCCAATATCCTGAGCTTATCTTATGCAGGCACAGGCCATGCAACCATGACCCCATGTCATTTCTGCTGTTCTGCATACCTGAGTCATCACCACTAATTATTCTCTTTTATCAGGTCCCACATTATCTTCGGATGGGCCCCACAATAATGTATTGATATTTTTCTAACTTTAGAAATACCACAGGCTACATCTCCATTGAACACAGAAAAACAATTATTCGATTCAATAAATATTTGTTGAACACCAGTCACCTAACAAGACTGGGATGGAACAGGGACAGGAAGTGAAGACATTGAGGAGGTTAAAGACAGCAAGACACAAAAAATCACATAGACAAGTAGATCTGAGAAAGGCGATGCAGCACGACACAGACCTCTTATACTATAACCTACATGTGGGCAGGGAGTTTTATTTTGTTTTATTTTTACACTGAAGTATCCCAAGTGCCCAAAATAGTGATTGGTATATAGTAGACATTTGATTAACATTTGTTGAATGAATGAATGAATGAATGAATGAGTGAGTGAATGAACAAAGTATGACTCTTGTCCTAAAGAGTTATATCTAGTAAACAAGAAATAAAAACTACACAATAATAAGTGCTCCTATTGGGATAAGGAGAGTGGAAACAAAAGCACCAAATCCAGTCTTGAGTTAGGGACTACAGAATTTGATCTCCCCACTTTGCCACAGGCTCTAGTAAGGCTGGGAAGGTGCTAAAACAAACATTTCTATCTCCTAGCCAATTGGTTCTGTTCAAGAGACAAAATGTGTTGAACTGAGTCAAACTTTTTATTCTCAGTTTCCTGCTAGTGTAGCTCTAATTTTAATTTTTTTTTTATGGCTGGGCATATCTTTAATATTTATTTTATTGTTTGTCAGTAGAGTCTAAATATAAGTCTCTGTAAATAATATAATCTTTCTTTTTTATCAGTGGTATAGGCATTGCCCTTTCAAATTAAATATTAAACGAAGCAGAGAAGAGGAAAGAGGGCAGTGCAAGGCCTTAGGAATGGCAAAACCAGAGGGAAGGAGTGTATGAATTATTGAGTTGCTAAGGGGACCTAATTTCTGAAAATGGCTCTAAATACTTAAGGGAAAATTTTCTCAATGGAGAACAAACTAGAAATTAAAAGTAAGGTTGCCAAAGCTTTTCATCACATCATTCTACTCTAAATATATGAATGAAAAAGTTAAGGATCAGGCTCAATTGCTAGCTGTGCTCTATTTGTCATAAAACAATTTGTGTTTTACCTTGAAAATCCCTTGGCTTAGACATTAAAAAAGAAAAATATATTCTTACGGGAAAGAAAATTATCTCCTAAAATGAAAGCAAATCGTGCTATTGAACATGACATTACAGGTCCTTGTGCCCAAGTAAACATACAAAAGGATTTTTTAGTAGAAATTTTCAACTACGAGAGTACCTCTGATTCTAAACATATTGTTAGCTCTCACAAATTCCTGCAAGAGCACTGCACAGATGGCGTATTATATTGAGATTCTTGAAGGGCTCTCTGTATGTTGATAATATTAGTTTATGCACGTGACTAACAGCTTAATTTGCAAATAACAGACAACAAGAACATTTAGTGATAAAATAGAATGCCATTTGAATTCTTAACATTTTCATTATGGAAAATGCAATGTGGTGTAAAGTTTTAGGTAAATATGTTTATCTCTGTTAATGGTGTGGATGCTTTGCAACAAAGATCTGCTGAATGTAAATTGAGGCTGATGGTGGTCATACATTATGTATAATATTGAAGAGCTATACCACAAAAGCCTGCATTTCCTGGGTAAGAAAACATTTAATATGGAAACTACGTATATAATTTCTCGTCAACTCAAGAGGTTAAAACTGATGGATCACACACTGAAATAGAGACGTCTAAAAGAATCCAACCTGATTTATTTTCCCAGTAGAAAGGCAAAATATTCATTTCTTTACTTTGTTAATGCTTTAGACTAGAATTATTCTCTAAACAGAGTTTGTGCTGCTTCATATAGCCATATAATTTTTCTTACTATGCATGTAACGTTCATTTCTCTCATTCTTTCAGTTAGAGTAGCAATGTTTCTAATGAAAAAATTTCAAACTAAGTATGTAACAAAATGATTTTGTGTTTCTCTTTTCACACGCTGAGGTAATCATGCAGGAAAGGAAAATAAATCATTTTCTTTTGAAATGAAAACATTCATATTTGATAAGTGATTTGAAAGTAAAATGAGATTTTACATAAACATTTTACATTTTTTATGGACTTATCTTTATTGATATTCCTTCCAGGAAAAAGTCATTACAAACAGATATATGCATGTATCAAAAATATGTATGACAAAGTACAGTTATAGATCATTTGTTTTAGAGAAATACAGAAATCTTACAAAATGAATATGAGAAAGAACCTAGTGATAAAAAGGTTCTAGGAGAGTATGATTAAAGACAAAAACAAACATACAAAAATGTTTTGCTTTATGCATAGGACTACTAATTATAAATACAATCCCGAAGATATAGAGAAAAAGGGGAAATAAATTACTCAGAGGGGAAAAAAATACAACAGAAAATGGCTTAGCAATTTCTGGTTTTAGAATACCATTTATATCTTAATGTGACCCTCTGGATGGTTGCCAAGTCAGAGGTGGACTAGAAATGTGGTTAAGGGATCTAAGATATAAACTTTCTTTTACATTCTTGCTCCACTCCTGAAATTCTTTTCTACTACATTTAAAATTTCATTTGACAATTAGTTCAGCACTTTTATGCATTTAGGGGCCCTAAGCTCTAGCGAAATTTTATAAAACTTTATAACATATTCCATAGTGGAGAAAAAAGCAAACTGACAAATGGAGGTCCCTGCACTTCTACTCCCACCATTGACTTTGCACCCTTCTGGCTAGAACTTTATACCACAGTGAAACTCTATTTTAGTGTTACTGCTATTGAGAACAGGCGTAATACAAAACCACCTTAGAGAATAACCAGTGACAGATGGTACTTTATAGCATTATGTTGGGTATAATCTTCGCACATACCAAACCTATTTATTGAGCATCTACTGTGTCGCAGGTACTAAGCTACTCTCTGTGGAAGATGCAAAGATGAATGGAATTCGTGTCTTCAAGGGGCTTACAATCAAGTAGGGGATATGAAACATGACAAACAGCTATAGTAAAAGTATATCCGCTAAGAAGCTTTGATCGCCTGATATATTGATAGCCACCTTCAAAGCAACACAGCTTAAAACTGTTTTTTTATGCATACGTTATGCATCCAATGCTTTGAAGATTGAATCTGAGACCAGTGCCTAAACCCCAAATTGGTCTGAGGCACAAACTTTGGACAGGAGTCCAAAACCGATGAGTCTCTCTCACTGGCTAGCTTAATTAAGTTCACATTCTAGAAATTTGACTGTGAGACACGCAGAGAGAGTCAGTTTATTGGTAATGTGACTGGAGTTGAAGACACAGAGATAGAATGTTACTAAGTCACTGTGATAGCAGAAAACTAGAATAAGAAGCAAGCAATGATGTGTTGCTTGAGTTGAGAGAATAGGGATGGCCAGCTGAGCAGATGGCTAGAACTTCTGAGACTGGAGGGACCCAGGCAACTGCTGTGTCCTGGATTCAGATTCTATTTTTCATTGATTTACTTTCGAGACTGTTGTTCTTTCTTTTACCTCCCTATGGAGCTTCACAATACATTCCTATTAGTTAGGAGTTAATCTGGGTGTGCCTATTCCTTGCACACTGAGAAAACTCTTTCTAAAACTACAAAAACATAGGAAGATTCAAAGATTCAAGACTTAGCAGCAGGATCCTTCTTATCTTGCAGTTTCAGCACCAGACACAGAAGGTCCCACAGATATGTGAATGAATATTGAATAAGAGAGACAGTTAAAGTATAAGAATTAAGAAGAGTGGAAATTATTTTTTTTTAAAGATTAAATTTATCGGTCTGACATTCATCAATAAAAATATATAAGTTTCAAGTGTACAAATCTATAATACGTCATCTGTATATTGCATTGTATGTTCACCACCTAAAGTTTAGTCTCCTTCCGTCCCCATATATTTGAGCCCCTTTACCCACTTCTACCTCCCCTGCCACATACTTCCCCTACGGTAACCACCACGTTGTATTCTGTGTCAATGGGTTTTTTTGTTTGTTTTGTTTGTTCATTTGTTGCTTTCTGTTTTATATCCCACCCATGAGTGAAATCACATGGTTCTCTTCCTTTTACATCTGATTTATTTCACTTAGCATGATAATCTCGAGATCCATCCATGTTGTCACAATAGCAGTATTTCATCTTTTCTTATGGCTGAATAGAATTCCACTGTATATATGAACTACATCTTCTTTATCTAATCACCTATCTAAGGACACTTGGGTTGTTTCCATGTCTTGGTTGCCATCAATAATGCTGCAATGAACATAGGGTTACAAATATCTTAATGAATAAATGTTTTCAAATTAAAAATTATTTCTTGCAAAGAGAATCAAAGACAAGCTTTTATGGAGACAGTTTCATCTGAGCAGAGTCTTAAAATCAGAGGGTGCTTAGTTTGGAATGAAGGGAGGTACTGCCCTCCTCTCAAAACATATTGTCTAAAATGAAATTTTTAACTATTTTTAAAGTATTATGTTGTCACGAAAGTTTTTAAGGCTCTGATTAAAATACACTGGGAAGAACATTGTGAAGATAGTAGTTAAGGGGTTGTATTTTTGAAGATATTTACTTCCCAATAAACTCAAAGAATAGATCTTATGCCTGGGTCCCGCCCCCTTCCCCATTACAACTTGTCCTAGCTAATGTTTGAGGATTAGGGAGGATTCGTGGAATTAAGAATTCCAGGCAGTAGGCAAAGTCATAGTGGAAGGACAAATAGGGAAATAAAGAAGTTTAGATTCAAGCGAAGCACCTGAAGGAATATTAACGAAAATGTTAGTTGGAAATGTAGATTCAGGTTTGAACTTTATTCTGTAAGTATTTATGCTGTAAGCATTTATGAATTCTGAACACAAGAGGGATGCCAGCATTGTATTTCAAGAGGATTAAGCTGAAAATAGTATATGAAGTGAATTTGAAAAGGGAAAAATCATAGGGGGACAATTTAGGAACCCAGTGCAAAAGCCCAGGTCAGTGGATTACTGTCATTATAAAAATATACAAACTTTTCAGTGTTACTATTTAGTATTTGTGTTAATGCTTTGCATTTATTCGTGTTAGTTTATACATCTTCTTTATTTATTTATTACAGCTGTTTATGATAAGTCAGTAACAGCAATATACACATCTTTCTTTAATTTATAGCAATGGGATTGCAGACAAGATGCAAAATTCCATAACAGCTTGTTTCTCTAACAGCACATAAGAAAAAATAATAACCACTCCACAAATTGTTTACTATTTTGGGTAGAGATGTTACTGAAATTTAACTAGTCCCAAATACTTTTACAGATTTATGCTTTTTTTTTCCAGATTCTCTAAGAATTCTTACATTTGCAAAAAACAAAAGGAATCTACCTTTGGATATTGAGTTTCATATGTTAATGTCTCAATGCATAGCATTGAGCCTTTTGAAATTTTTATAAACTCATGTTTCACACTATGAGCTCACAAGCAGCAGCCTGCCTCTAACCATCTGAAATCAAGCTCATGATGAATAGCTTTCAAGTGTTCCACTCTAGAAATATTTGAAAAAGACAGCCCTGCTGTCTATTGATAATGTCATCAAAGCTTTTCTTTTCTTTCTTCTTTTTTTTTTTTTTATGTTGTGGGATTTCTGATTTTTCTTAGAAAAAGAACCTGCCCAGTGGTTCTCAATCTTTTCTTTCAAAGACACAAATGATTGAAGATAATCACATTCATCGTATACTCCCATGAGAACTAGCTGCAACTCCTACTCAAGGAAACACATGAGCATTCACGTCAGCTTGAGAAACATGTGCTCGGGATAACTCTGCACATGAATTAAATTTTTAAAAACCAAGTATGAAATACTTTAATATTAGTCACAAATGAGTTGTGGAATCCTACAATTAAACACGTCATAGACCTTGCTTAGTCGAGAGCCACTAGCCTGATGACGCTATCACTATCAAGCATTACTCAATATCAGCAAAGTACACACTCACAACATACTCCCGCGCTCTACACACGTGCACATTCCCAGACTCTTTTTTTCATTCTTACCTCTGTTTTCTGAACGTTGATTTTTCAAACTCTATCAACAATTACATACAATTGCACAGAATTTGCTCTTTAGTTTTATATATAAGTACGTTTAATCACACACACACACATTTTTTAAAGAAAATTAGATTGATTATTAAGGGTTTATTTTGTTTTGTTCATTTTCCTAAAACTAATTTCAGGCTAATAGGTATTCTAAACCTTAAAGAGAAAATAAAAAAATATATAAAATATGTTCAAAGACAGTTAAATGCCTTCCCTCATACCAAATCATGAGAATTTGCACTCCGATCACAATTTTGTATATTAACAGAACTCTTTTGGACAGGCCTACCACTAACTTAAAAAAAAAAAAAAAAGCAAGCTGCATACCATTATGAAGCCAGGAGAAACAATTGAGTAGAGTAGCCATTTGTTCTTGTTCAGGATGAATTTCTGGAAATACATATTTATATTTTAACATATTTTCTTGGTGGCCACATTCTAATTTATTCTGACACATGTCAAAATGCATCATAAGATTTCTTATTTTTGCATTCAATAAATGTTTTTTGAGTATCTACTATGTGTTCTACTGATAGGAATTCAACAGTGAGTAGAACAGAGAAATCATAGCTCATATATATCTTAGTTTATAGTTGAGGGAAGACAGATCCCGAACAAATAAATAAGTGAAACATATTGTGTTACAGATAGTGATAAGTTCTCTGGAGAA